GAGGTTACCTGTAATAAGACTTGAAGTGTAAGTAGCCAGCGATTTCATGAGCTGCAATCATGTGAAATTCAGATCATCAATATTGAGAGCATCTTCATCATCAATCAGATGAATATCAGGTTCCGGTTCATCAGCATTATTAATGAGTGTCACAGATGTGACAACTGATTCAACAACATGATTAATGAGTTCCACAGATGTAATAATCAGTTTTTTGATGATCAGAAATCTCACATCACTACTGACAATAATCTTGTCAGATTTGAAATGTCATAGGCGATATATCAATGTGCCACTGAATTCAATGATATGATAGGAATTGACACATGAAGAGAGCTTATCCGCGGGCCACTGAGATTCATGCAAGTGAACAAAAACCTCTGCACTCAATCAGTGAAAATGTCTTACATTCAGCAGAGTATTTGTAAGTGCACATCAAGAAATCTTAAATAGACTTAGAATCACAGAAGTCTCTGCAGTAGAGAATCAAAATTTCAAGTTGTAAAGAACTGTAGATATAAGAGTATTATTGATTATTATAATCACTGTCTCTAGAACATCTGCTCAGAACTTCTTAAGAAGATTATCTTTCAAAAGAGCAGCTCTAATCTGTTTCATAATAGTACAGATCTCACATTCAGAAACATCATTCTGATGTAATGAATATGATGCTGTTGATTCTCATTTGATATTATATGAATTCATAACTGTGTGTATACATGTGAATCAGAAAACATCATCAATATCAGTCTGTAGAAAAGCAGAGACTGTATATCTGAGATTATTCATGAATCTGAGTCACAACTCAAAGTATTGAACAGCCTCATTCTTGAACTTTAAAAAATACACTCAATAGTAGTGAGTCACATCACAGATGATAAGCATTCAGTATTTAATTCTCTGACAGAACTCTAAGAGATGATCAGAGAGATCTTTCAATGTATATTTATCATTTACAAGATTAATATGAATCTTCTCAATAAGTCAGATAGATCTAGGCATCAGTGTTTTTGAATAATCTCATATCATATCAGTCTTGACACATTCCTTGCAAAAGAACTTAGTCTTAGAATCTTTAATTATGACTTCAGTATGAGAATTCTTGACTATAGTAATTATAGCATCAGCATGAATGTGACTGAGATCACAGTGTCAGTTCAAAAGAGTCTTTGATATTCTTGTATTCTTAAGGCCTGTATTCAGAACTGTAGAATCAATGTTATCAACAGTAGTAATAGCAGTCACAGAAAGATCAACTTTTCAGTCAAAATTGTACTTGTGTGATATCACAATATACTTAACTGCCTTGTTCAGATGATTGAGATTCTCATTGAACTCTTATTCATTGATCTTATATATATTATTCTGAGTGATCTGAACTGTATGAAAAATAATGCCATTCAGAGCTCTGCAAATGAAAAATGAGAAAATAGTGAAAGATAATGTAAATCAGAATCTCTGATCTTCAAGCTTTGTAAATAAGAGCAGATTAACTGTAATATTAGAGATATAGTGAATATTCTGTAAGTTAACATCATCACTCTCAATCTTCAAGATGACAGTTTCAATCTTCTTGACAAACTCAGTTCTCCCAGTCATAGAATTGACAGAGATGTTATCATTAAAAGATTTGATATTTGAAAAAGAATGAAGCTCATCTGTCATATTCAGGCTTGCACATATGTTCAAATATCAAGATCTAGAGGATGATTTTCCAGTGACTGTGAAAGAGAAATAGAACTCAATCTTCATAATTACTGTATTTACTGCTGATTGAGAACTTATTAAGTCATTCTTCTTCTCTTTCTTCTTGTCATCCTTCTTTTTCTTTTTATCAGAGTGTAAGATGAAACACCTGTCAACAGTATGATTATATCTTCTGCAGTGAGTGCACTTTCATATGAGTGTGCTTTTATTCTCATCTTTATTCTTATCTTTATTCTTATCTTTGTTCTTATTCTTTTTTACAGTTACAGAATCAGCCTGAGACTGCTTTTTCCACTCAGTGATGATCTTCTTGAATGTACAATTGATCAGTTACTTCATCAAATTATTGATATCAATGTTGACAATGAGTTTCTGATCAGTAGAGAAAAACTCATTCAAACATGTCTTGATAAATGATCTTTGATAATCTTGTAGATTATTGAGAAAAAGATCATGATATACATTCTCAGTGCTCTGACAGAGCTTCTTATGACAGATAACAAGATAGCAGAAATATCTCTGAAAAGTAAGATAATCATTTTCCTTGACTTATAATTTTATCAATTTCTTGAAAATATTAACTTGTTCTTCTGTCAGTGATATCATATATTTAATATTAATCTTATCTCACAGAGTTACAGTATTGTCAGCTTTCAAGATTTCAATAGTAATTTAAATATTTTCAACAAGACTCAATAGTATACATCTATATAGAGACTTGAAACAGATTCTTCACTTCTCAGAGTCAATATAACATGTAAAAGAAAATTCTCATTGAGTTCTCAATAGAATATTAATTTTATCAATAACTTTCATATCAGTCAACATATCAATATATCAGGCTTTATAATTAGAGTCATCAAATATGATCACTGATTTAATATCTAGTACATATTTGACTTTCTTCTGATATTCTCATAACTCATCTCTTGTAGTATCTCTTTGTGCAGAAACAGGTGTAGTGAGATGTTGAGCAGTTTCAGCTGCAGTTATTTAATTTCATAGTATTATCTGTATAAGATTCATAAGATTACCTGTAGTACAATAGATAGATTGATTCAGATTATCATTAAAAGTCAGCATTCTGAGAGTGAGAAACAGTCAAGAATTTAAAGAGTTGAAATGAACAGATTCTGCAGATGAATATTAACTCTGCTTTTCTTTATTCTGAAGTTTCTTCATTGTCTCATCATTAAATTTCATACTCTGATGAAAACTGATCTCAGTTTCATCTTATAAGTCAGAAGCTTTCTCATAATGAGTGATTATTCTATCAATGAGTTATCTAGTAAAACATGTGATTCTGAGCCTTGAGCTGAACTCTGAAGTAATAGATGTATTACTTATATTAAGATAGCTCTGCTTCTTCTAGATATGTAAAAAAAAAAAAAAGATAAAAAGTGATATTCTTCATAATGAAGAATGCACTTTCTCAAAAATATAAAGTATATAAATTCACTGACTGACAGATTCAGAGAAAATAAAATATCTCTAATAAAGAGTAAGAGTCTTTTTAAAAAAGATGAACTATTCATGTTAAAAATATTGATACAATGTTCTAAAAAGAAAAACATGTCATTCAGGCTATAATCTATAGAATAGTTGAAGGTTGTATTGATAGATCTATCTACAGAAACATATTATAGTGATGGGTCACGTGATCTAGTGAAATCGCTAATCACAACGGCCGTAAGAGTCAACAGTTATAAGATCAGAGTGACTGATAAGTAAGCTTCTATCTAAGAACTCAGTGTCTGTTTAACTGTGTGACTGTTTCTCTATTTCTTATATGTTATTACATGTTCAGATATCTTTCAATGAATAATTATTTCTAATAAGAAGACAATGAATGTTTTTATAGTATAAGAGACCTACACTGAATAGATTGATATAATAGATAGGTCTTATATAATAAAGATAAAAATGTTAGAGAAGAAAAGAAAGAGAAAGTGTGAGAATCAGCAATCAAGATGAATATTTATACATGTATGTGGTGATGTTAGACTGACCGTATGACCGTGTCTGAAACCAGGACCAGATTTTTTGATAGTCTCATTACCAATTTGACTGATTCTATTACACAGTTTTAACATTAGATAGTAATCTCATACTGTCTCAGTGAGACTTACTGTCTACTCTTATCACATTTTTCAAATGAGATCATGATTTCCACTTCTTAATTTAAATTATTTTTATTGCTTTAAATGACTTTAAATCTCATTTGAGCATTATCAAAAAGTGTTACTTTTTAAAAAATTAAAAATAGTCTAAAAAAAACCTTAAAATGTCTAAAAATAGTAACTTTATACCAAGAATGGGACTAAATGGGACCAAATGGGACCACTTTCTCATTTTTTTCAAGTCATGGTTCCATTTTAAGATCTGATATATAGTCACTTTACCTGTTTTTTTGATAGCCAGTCCCAGCGGGATTCACGCCAAGAAATGTATGGGACCAGACCAAATGGGACCAAACATGAAATTCATGGTCCCGGCGGCCAGTCTAGGTGATGTATGTGGTGGAGCTTCAGAGCAGAAGAATATACATGTGTTCATAGCAGCCGAGAATCGGTGATCAGGAATGGCTGAGAATCAGAGCATACACTACACGCATTCATAGCAGCCGCGGATCAGTGATCAGAAATGGCTGAGAATTGGAGCGTACACTACGCGCGTTCGTAGCAGCCGCGGATCGGCGATCGGGAATGGAAGAATCTATGAAGTGTAATAGAATAGTCTATATGATTGATCGGGCGCAGCCCGCCACATCTATTATCTTATTATCAAATTTCATACTCTGATGAAAACTGATCTCAGTTTTATCTTATAAGTTAGAAGTCTTTTTATAATGAGTAATTATTCTATTAATAAGTTATCTAGTAAAGTATATAATTCTAAGTCTTAAGCTGAACTCTGAAGTAATAGATGTATTACTTATATTAAGATAACTCTGCTTCTTTTAAATATAAAAAATAAAATAAAAAAGTGATATTCTTCACAATGAAGAATATACTTTCTTAAAAATATAAAGTATATAAATCTGCTAATTAGCAGATTCAGAGAAAATGAAATATCTCTAATAAAGAGTAAAAGTCTTTTTAAAAAAGATAAACTATCTGTGTTAAAAAAATATTGATACAATATTCTAAAAAGAAAAACATGTTATTCAGGCTATAATCTGTAGAATAGTTGAAGATTGTATTGATAAATCTATCTATAAGAACATAATATAGTGGTGGGTCATGTGATCTAGTGGGATCGCTACCTAACCGCAATGGCCGTAAGGGCCAACAGTTAGGACGGCGTGAGATGGCGCAAAAGTAGCGAGGTAGTTAACTAGCCAGGCGCCATCCCCGAAGCAGCAGTAGTCTTTTACCATAACGGGCATAGTGCACGGCCCAGAGAATCTACAATTTCTTTACTCCGTAGGTCCAAGCTTGGATGAAGACAAGAAATAACGAAAACTGATGAATATCTATCTTTCAATAATAAAAGAAAATTCCCAAAAAATCAATTTACATGCAAAACACTCAAAACACTGAAGAAATACAAATTTGTTCACATGCAGACAAAAGGAGGATAGTCAAGTTTCCAAAATCATACCCAACATCCCCTGTACCTAATCAATCGCTCTAAGAGATTCCCATGTCAAACATCCCAAGCCTTCCCACCTTTCCTGTCCTCTCAGCATTCGTTTCAATAGTGTATCTGTCTATCTATGCCTTGGTGGTGAAGTCTGTCTCTCCGGGGAAGTTCCCGGCATCAAGGGCCTTTTCGCAAGTACAGGAGTCTGATTTTCACGAAGGGGCACGCCATATGTTTTGGTTAGCAGAGCGAATTCTTCTACAAGGAAATGGCCTCGAGAGAAAGAAAACAAGAGTTAATGGAAGGGGAAAATCCCACCTGACGCTCTCTTCCCACACGGACACGCAGCGCTGAAATGCTGATGATTCTCTGATTCGGCACGCTCACACGTACATTGGCCAGCTGGACGGCTCCCTATTTTTTATTCCCACCCCCCCGGACGCGATTATGTTAGCTTTCAGATACGCACAGCTAAGCAAGTTTGAGATGACATGCAAAAGGGGAAGAGGGAAGATCCCAGATACGAAAATTGAAAGGGAGCGAACCAGGATTAGAACTTACGGCATGAGCACCTAGGGCCTGAGGTGTCGTTTTCAGTCTTTGCTTTTTCGCAGGTGCAATGCAGGGCTTGTTGCTTGCCGCAGGAGCATCTGGCTTGGGCGGCGCAGACGCACCCTTGCTTGGAGGCGTGGCAGCATGAGAGGGGTGGGATGGTCATTGTTTATTTTTTGCTGGTTTGGTTCTGTTCGATATTTCACCTTGTGTGGTCTGGGCTGGTCTGGTGGTGGTGGAATTTGATGTTTCTGAGACCTGGGCAGGTAGGTGGTTGATAGAGAAGATGTAGATGTAGATGTACGGGGGATGGAGGATGGAGGTGATTAGGGTTCGTGCCTGAACCTTCTCAAATGGATTGGATGGATGAGATCAGATATTGAATATCGGATAACAGTAAGATGATAAAAGCGAATAAATCAAAATATCAAGTAGTTTTATACATATACCTGTACACCTCTTATATAGTTCTTCTCAGCGGCGGGACTCAACAATGAAGTCATCGATGCATTAACAACGCCTGAGCTCTGATTGGCCGCCGCCCGCCGCCATCCTGACCAGCAAAGCGTGTGGGGCCGCGGCCCACTCATTTTATTTTAACTTTCTGCCGCCCGAGAGGCAAGATCGGCCCTGTGTTGCCAATCGCCGCAACCTCTTTGGCTGGACGGGCGCTCGCTGGGCCAGACGTTTGAGCTCTACGCTGTATGTCATGTCATCTCATTCATGGTTCAATTGGCGGAGTCAGATAATCGAACCACTCGGGATCGTACCACTCGTCATCGTGCCCCTCGGCGTTTTCTTATCAGATACTCATCAATGTTGCTGTACTGTACTATATTGACTAGGACGGGAGAATTTTTTGGAACGGAGGCAAACAGAAAAAAGAATTGACAATGTAAAATAGCAGAAGGCCGCCCGGGATTAAATGATTCCAAAACAAGAGAAGAGAGTGCAAAACATAACCACATATATGTCCCTATTGACCTAGTTAACTTCTTGCAGTCATTGTCATGGCACCATTAAACATTCAAGGCAAATACCCTCCCATCTTACTTGTCTTGTCCTTGAGACAATACGGAGTAATAAAAAAAAAAAAAAAAAAAAAAAAGAAAAAAAAAGAAAAGAAAGAAAGAAAGAAAGAAAGAAAAAAAAAGAAAAGAAAGAAAGAAAGAAAGAAAGAAAAAAAAAAAAAAATTATCCGAACGTCTAGCGAACTAGAGTATAGAGGGATAATGAAATGGGATAGATGACAAAAAAGAAAGAAATCAATCTCCAGAAGAAATAATTTCCTGCGAAACAACATATAAGCGAAATAGGAATAGGGTTTCAGTCCAAGATCCTTTAAAACAGACAAACAAAAGGAGAAGAATATCGTATATACAAAATATCAATACCCTCCCGATTTTATTGAGAACCACGAAATCTCCCCAAGTATGTATACTTGGGTAAGCTATACCTTATTTCATAGGCAATCCCTTGGGGAATTCCGCGTCGATGCTATTTGCCAGCCCGCATTCCTCTCCCCATCCATTCGAGCTAATATGGGATAAAGGATGCCGGGAGGCTTAGTGATGAAGAGTTGCGCTCGGGATAGGAAATGTCGAATGGGCCTATGCCAACGGTGGTGATGGTGGTGGTGGTGGTGCTGAAAGGAGATAATTGGTCTTCGCGCAGGATATGCATGTCTGGTAGAGGAGCGGATTGTAGGCCATCATCGCCTTGTTTTCAGTATCCTGTGTCCAGGTGTAATTCGGGAGGGAGGCTGGTTGGAGCTGTGCGTAGCCGAAGGGTCATGAGGGTTTGGGTGGCTGGCCTGATTTATGTAGTTGGCTGTGGGCTGGTGTTATATATATATCGTAAGCCGATGCAATCCTATGCTTTGGTGGATTAGGTATTATTAGTACTTACGTGCATGGCTAACGTTGGTATCCATGAACGTCTGCGAGGTGATATTGTCATATGAGTGGGTATTACATGGCATATCCAACCCCATGTAGGCGTGGGTAGATGATATGCTTGCTCGGGGAGGGGATCTCAATGATCCTGCCCTCTGTCTCGTCGTATCTTGTTGTTCCATAGCCTGGATGTGATGATGAGAAGTTTGCGAAGTAGAATGGGAAAAACTACCAGGACTCGTGCACGGACTCATATATTGGAAGCTTGATGTTTGCGGGTTGGAAAATGATGGGCAATGCGACGCGATATCGCCTCCTATTGTTATTGGCGGCATATCAAGTTCTGACCCAGAGGCTGACGCTGAAGCCGGTGAGGGGAAGTAGCTGTCGTAATTAGAGGAAGCGCTTAACGGAGATATCGCATAGTCTTCGTCACTTAGCCTGCCCACAATATCGACTATCAAAGGCGTAAGTATATCTTCCTCTCCCCCTTCCTGGTTGGCATTTAAGTAACTCCCAGGGGAAGCGAGGGTGTGGGAAGATTGGTGCCAACTCCCGTACGGCGAATGAATGCTTCGTGCGATGTCAAAGCCATCCGCTAAGGCCTTCGAGATCAACACCCGTTCTCGATCGTCGTTTGTTAGACGTTTTAGTTTGGCTCGCCTACCGGTTTCATAATAAGCAATGTAAATGGGCGAGATGGCAAATATGCTTAAAAGAGCAGTTAACCTACCGATTCTGGAACCAAACCTGCACCTGACGCGGACTTAGACCTGGGATCTCCTTCGACAAGCGCTCCCTATGAGCGGCATCCGGATGAGCTTGGCGAGCAAATTCGTTCATGAGAAATCGAGTCTGGTTATGCGAGAGTCTGTGGTAATTGGATTATGATTAGCCCATATCCGCAAAAACACTGACGGCTAGAAAATAACCTACCGGAAGCGTTTCATCTTCCCCTTTCCTGTCTGCCAGTCGGCTGGTACTTTTGCATGGCCACCTCCACCAGGCTGGCGTTGTCCATTTCCCTCATGGCTCTCTCTCTCAAGTTGGTCGTCACATATGCCAATGGCTAATTCATTCTCACAGTCTCCTTCTTCAGCATCATTATCGTTGGTTTTAATGCTGTGGCTTTCGACAGGATTAGAGGTCAAGTAAGCTCCTGAAATCCAATTCGCGGAAGTCGATGGCATTGAAAATTCAGAGTTGCCCTCCAGATATTCCGTTTCAGTTTCAGATAAGATTGTTTTTATATTTCTTATCTCATTCTGGGTCTCTGCTTCAATGTTTTTTTTTTTTTTTTTTTTTTTTTTTTTTTTTTTTTGAAATTTATTGTGGGATGACCTTTGATTTCACTAGCAGGAGCAACACTTAAATGCGCCCTGGGCTCCAATTCAAAACGCTTCCGGTCGATCGGGTCGATTTGGAGCAAATCGCGATCGTTCATAACAGTTGGGAATGGCCTAAAGTTTCGGGGCTGAGCGGCTGTCGGCCGGGTTCCAGTTGTTGATATTCCAACTAGCGTCAACCTGGCGCATGGAAATGGGAGACACGAGAGACGGCACGATGAACAACAATGTGTTACACTGTATATTTTTCGATGGGGTTCAGTTGCTAGACACTCATCCGCCTATTTCCAGAAGATTGGGGTCCGAAGGAGGTAGGTAAATAGAGCACAGGTATCAATGTCGTTCTTTTCATAAGGATTTTGAGGTTCACACAGTTGCATTGAGGCTGAAACAGCCTTTCCCCAGGATCTTTGAATTTAGGTGTTGAGGTTAGATAGTCCAATAGATTTGTCGCGAGGCATTTAACGCCGGTTTGATAACATGGGTGTCACAGTATAAGGTCTGACAGAAGATGTAATGTTTCCTCTCCTAAACTGGCCCCTGGTGATCTTGATAGTCTCCTTTTCAGCTCCTGTGCCGCGCGTCAAAAGGTTCAATGTAGGTGATACCGAGTAATTGTTTACAAAAGTGTGCCCTTATTTCACATTATAAAGGTCTCTGGAGTCCGAGGGCTCGAGGTGAAGAGGTCCAGCTTCAAAGAGCCTTAAACCAGGAAAAGAAATGGTCCGGGGTAAGCATGAATCTGGTCACAGTCTATGCTGGCAAGATTTTATGGGACGACACCAGGTGCGGGGAGGTATAATATAGTAAGCAATTGAGGTAGTATCAAGGTATTCATACCGTGAAGGTATTCATCTCTAAGTAAAGAATGGCACAGTCTAGGCGAGATGTAGACGAAAGAAAGGTGAGAAAAGAGAAAAGAAGAAGACTCGGGAGAAAAAAAAAAAAAAAAAGAAACTTGCAAATGTAGCAATAACATATATACTTTCCTTTTAAACCCAGTCGTAGTTTGCTACTTTGAACTGAAGTCGATATATGTGCCAATGCTGAAGGGGGGAATGGTTTGACACTCAAGGTCCCACGGGGAATAAAGAGAGCCAAGGAGGAGTGATGGCTAGGGATGATATACCTAGTCATGGCAGGATAGAGGATTAGCCCGGGAGGCTTAGCTGCAGCAGGAGGGAGAACTCGGGGCGGCAAGTTCTGTATATCAAACCGGGTTGTGGATTTTCCTTGACTGCGAAATGGCGGGATGTCTGCTCCAACCAATACCAGGCGTTTCGACGCCCGCACCCACTTCGGCAGAGAAGTAAACAAGCGCAGGAAGTTGTAGTGATGGCCATAGAAATACGTAATAGCAGTCTCGCGGTCTACCCCAAGTACGTTGAGGCCGGATTGTCGCAAATCAAAACGCATGGAGCTGGTTTCGGTTGACATAGGCCAGGGAACAAAAAGATGGAAAATCACCTTGGTTCCAGCGAAGATGAGTTGAAAGGGTTGTCCTCGGCCCATGCTGCACGGTTTGGTTGGGGAATGTCTGCTTCATCTGCTCACTCGGAGCCGTGGCATTAAACGGGATGGGGGCCTTGAATATTCCCCCAACTGACAAAGAGTGTCGTTGTCCCTTTTGAGAAGAGTGTTTACGCCACCGTCGGCCGTCGGTGTATCCACTGTGACTTAGCAATTTTGCGGGCATAATAACAGTGCACCCGAAATACCCCAGTCACGTCCCAATGAAGCATGTCTCGAGGCCCGCTGGCGTCTCACCCTCGGCCTCTAGCCTAGCTTGGACACACTAGGCTAGCATGGAGTTGCCACATTGAGGAACAGAATGCGGTGGTGGGTGTCAGCATCTGCTTCGACAATTTTTAGTTGCATTGGGCATTGCCAATTTTCGACTGTCAAGGGGAGGGGCTGCTATCATTGTAAAACAAATACAAAACAAAATACAGGCAACAAAAATCAGTTTTTTTCTGATCGTATACCCGATGGTAGAACACAAAAAATTCCGGGCTCGGCCCTTCCGTCAGTAGCGATCAGGATCCACTACATCGGGGCACTGGGAAACACGGTTTGGATAAAATACTAACAATGGTACCACCATGCTGGAGACCGAAAGCCAGAACAGTGCTAAAGCTGCCAGGTTGTCTTGCTGACAGCATGCATGCACACTTCATCTAGCTTAGCGTAAGAGCAGCTAGGCATTGGGGTTGTCCAGGTTTATTTCCAGGTTTATTTCCAGGTTTATCCCCTGGAGTCGGAATTGTTGAGGTTGCAGCCAGAATAATGGTGGCACGAGCATGGAGCTCTGGCTTAGGAATTTCACAGGGACGAGAGACGTCCGGGGATACTCTGCTTCCTGTGGAATCAACTCAGACCGGCTATGTATAGGCTGGGGTAAGCCTGCAGAAATCCGTAATTCAAAACAGCTTGAGTCGACTCCAACTTTATCTCGAACTGTGCAAGAAACACCGAGGAAGCAATGCGGGATGCATAGTCCTCTGGGAAAATCCCATAAATCCCATGGATTGCTGTAACAACGTGTGCCTTTATAAGAGCTGACGCTGGTAACCAGGAACGGCCAATTAATGGGCAATCCCTGATAGCAGACATAGGCGCACGCACTCGAGAGTCCACCACCGATCGAGGGATATGCTCGTGTTATGCCAGAGATGAGAACCCTGGAGGGGAGTCTGGGCAAGGGTCACCGGTGTCTACAGCTGATGGGCGATGGTATTGGAAGACGGATTATCTGAAACCGTGTGTAATGCAGCCGGGAAAGACTTTTTGGGCGATAAAAGAAGTAGAAGACGATTGCAGCCGTAGAAAAACCTCCTGAAATAATATCGCGGGGGCTTGCAGTGAAGACGCACACTTGGTGATTGGAGCCGCATGAAAAGATGCCAGGGGAAACGAATTGGAACAGGGCGGAACTGCTAAATTTCCAGAACAATATGCAGGCAGTGTTTGTCCGCCCCCAGGCCCATGGGCGATAGGCACATCCCAGTCCTGAGAAACGAGATACGGGGCCTGACTCGACCCTGATGCTGTGCTGCCGTACTGCTGTACATGAAATGTACTGTACATACGTACTACTGTGCTGTCTCTGCTGCAGTGGGCCCCAGGGTTGTTTGAGCCACAAATCTTCAAGAGGACTGTTTCGGCGCTCGGGGCAAACACACAAAAGGAGAAAGGAGAAAAAGGCAGAAATGCCACAAGGGAAACTCCTCTCGTGGAACAAAGTTGTTGTCTCCGGCGAGGATCAGCCGGAGTGGGCGTTCAACGGAGACGAGGTTGCCCAGACATCGCCAACAGAGACCGCGAGGCCAAGGACAGGATTTTTTGCTGGGATGAAAGATCCGCGCCAGGGTCGAGAGGAGAGCGCTTCAAAACCGAAACGGGCCGTGATGGTGTCGGGCTCCATGCTATGCTGCTGCGTGCGTAGCGTAGGGTGGGTGTTAAATATTTAGTCTCCAGCAAACCAAACCGCCATCGTCGGCTCTCCTCCGTCTCGGCTTGAATTGATCAGCAGCGGCGAAGGAGGCAGGACGAGTTACACACTCTGAAATCCGCAGACAGCAAGCAGCCTCTCCTCTACTACTCTACCAATACTATTCTTCAAGTCACAACCGCCCTCCCCGGGAATAGAAGACCTCGCTTGAATTGGGCCGCAGACTCCTGAGGACCTCGTCCTGCACGGCTATCTATCTATGTACATACATCGCGGAATCCACCCGTGGCTAATAATGATGCCCAAAGTTCCCCTAAACTGTATGTAACCTTAGTGCTGCGAGTATTGGCCCGAGCTAGAATATGGGGAAAGTGTGCAAGGAATTGAAGGGGAAAAAATCCGCCGCATAGTTGATAGTTGTAACTATTTCAATACCATTCTCCAATGACCAGGTAACGGCTCAGGCTTTTCAGGTTTCAACAACATAAATATTTAAGTACCCCTCCTCGACTTAACCCCTTTTGTGATTTGCCGGCTCCTCCTGCAGAAGTTTTTTGAACCGGGCACAATTGCAGCTAAGAAATGAAGACCAGACAGAACCCACCTAGGCCTAGACTTTGGCTTTTGTGTGAGCGCTTTTCCCCTCTTGCCTCTTGTTAAAGCGGAGAAAGCTATTTAAAGGGAACATTACCTGATTCCCCGCCGGATATATCATTTCAACTTCGGACAAAGAGGAAGCAGAATGAAGCTCCATGAGAGACAGACAGGGGGGAGGGATGTATAGTGAAAAAGAAAGAAACAGATCTGTGTTTTGTTTTCGCCTTGCATCTTGTTCCACGTGGCTAAAACAATGAACCTGGGCATTCGTCTGCATACAGGTATATACATACATACATCTGCGTTGCAACTGTAGATCTAACTATTATTGGAATTGTGGATGGCGAGTTGTTTAATTTTTAATTTTTAATTTTTTTAATTTTTTTTTTTTTTTTTTTTTTTTTTTTTTTTTTTTTTTTTTTTTTTTTTTTTTTTTTTTTTTTTTTTTTTTTAAAAACGGGGGGGGGTTAACTGTACTGGGTGGGTGGTAACAACTCCTCCACCGGATTTATGTTATGCCTTGTGAGATGTAGATGTATCGTTCTTACTGACATTGATCATTATATAGGCAAGTGATTCTTTATACCATTCATGTCATATCATCCAGCAAAACATTCCCGAGCATCGCATGCAACATTGGGACTTCTTTCGTTTTTAGATCTAATCTGCTTATTCCTTCCTACTCCCCGGCCCCTCCTCAAAACCAGTTTATTTCCACGGATCGTAAATTAACAATGGCATAACATGGCGTACCAGCATGCACCTGTTGCCCATTCTTCGAGGCTCGACGCGGGAGTAGACCGTAGAGCTGCACTTTAACGGCGAAGGATGTTAATTGGGAGCCATGCTGTGGAGCTGCATCGGTCAGTTGCCTTATATACCACCCGCCTGTGCAGCTCGCATACCCCTCTGTCTCCGCTTGGATGTTGAGCTTCACCACTCTCCTCGGATACAGCAAGGGATCAGTGTGCCCTTTCGACATGACATGTTAAGGAAGAGAAGGGCGGAGCTAATCGTTTTCGAGAAGGTAGCGTTGACCCTGGGCTGTGAGGGTCTGGCGAACTCGTTTGCAAACTAACGAAAAGAAGCGTTCGCGGGGTAAGACAAATACCGAGCATGGGTTGTCGTCCTGTGCTCCCACGGAGGCCAGTTATTATGGGCAGTCCGTTCCGTTTCCCGCATCGAGCTCAATTTTGTAGTCACGAGGTATACTCCAATAACCCATCTACCTCCCATACAAACTCTTAGCCCTGCTGCGGAGCTGCTCCATCGGATGAAACCGGTGGCTGGTTTTCCTTTGCCTTCTCCCCTTTTACATCGCCCCTTTTGGAAGGTCCACCTTGACGATTAACGCCATTTTCCACTGCAGCTTTTTGTTTGTTTGATGCGCTTGACGCATCCTCAGACGCAGGAGGCGGCTCAAAAAGAACCTTGAGGTTATTTCCGTCCTCGATTTTGTCGAACAGTGCTAGTTTACTGCGAGAGGAAAGACGTAGGGTTCTCCAGGTCTTGCTTGCTCTTGCTTTGGTCGCCTCGTCCTTCTCTTCGCGCGACTGGGCCATGTCAATATTAAACTCATCGTCGGCAATCCCGCGCATGTAAGAATCTAATGCTGGGGTAGTGAATCTTTATTGGGATAGGAGTTAGCGAACGGCTAGTTCTGTGATGGGGTCATGTTACGCTATTTACCTGTCGGGGTGCTTAAGCCGGCCCACGCTATTGATATTCTTATCCTCCGTGAGGAAATTGAGATCCAGGGATCCTAACGGGGCGGATCGAAGTCGTTTGCTCGTCGATACCTTAGTCGCAGTAGCTTGCGTATCTAAATAATCTTGGATTGACACTGGGGTACGCTCGATCGGAGGACATGCTTCTGCCTTCCATCGAACCCAATTTTTGTCTCTAGTGAGAACAGTGTCCACCATTCTGTAATAAAATTTCCCCTCTGAACCTTGTTGCAAATAGCTGGCAATGGAGGTTTTCATTTGTGACGCCCATTTTGCCTAGGAAATAGTCAGCACCTGGCATATTACTTTAGAAGAAGCAGTGCACAAGTTTACATCTTCGTCATTAAGAACGTAACTGTAGAGCACTGATTTGTTTGTTGAGTCCGCCAGCTTAGCCTTAGCTTTGGGCGTGAGCGAGAGGACAAAATCAAGAAGAATTAACGATTGCACGAGGATGTGTCTCCGGAACGCGACATCATTCACCTGGAATAAATCAGTATTTGGCTTGGTTGCAAAATGTCCATCACATGAAGCTAGATACCAACCTCTAATTCAAATAAATCTCTACTCGTCAGGTACTTCGGGTTGAAGCTGTTCGTCATTTCCATGCCGTCACCTACACGCCTCCGCTTAAGGCCACGACGCGCATCTTCCGATCCTTTCGTCATCCGCGCCTCCATATCGGTGTTTACCTTCTGGAAGATGGAAAGGGATGCCTCTAGACCGGTTTTGAAGGCCGCAAAATTGGCCGGATCGAAAAGAGAGGTTGGCGAAGAGAAGTTGTTTTGCAAACTCCAAAAAATGGGGTATAGCTCATCCATAGACGGGGTTGAGCTAGGTTCTGGCTCCTGGGGTTTCTTTGTGGCCGGTTGCGAACTTTGCAGGCCTACATCAGCTGCTGGATGAGCTGCCTGTCGGTTGGATTCTTGCTCACTGGCCTGCGCCGATTCGGTTTTCGCATCGCCAGCGACTTCTTTCGCAGAAGCATCCACATCCATCGGAGTCACGCCACCGTCTTGAGCTTTGGGAAGCTTATCAAAAGTGGTCACATTCTCCGTATGAAATTCGCCTCTCAAATTGACAGAGCTACGGTCTCCTAGTGGGAAGCTCTGAAAGAGAAATATGAAAACCCTCCCGCAAAATACCGTATCTTCGGTGCGCGAAAGCCGGCGCAGGAGTTCATTGCACGATCGTAGGATAATCAAGCTCTTCTGCTTGAAATGTTTCTGTAGTCATAGTCCGTCAGCAGAGTTTCCCGATGGATATTTAAGGAACCCGAAACCTACAGCAGTATTTCGTTCCCTCCTCGACTCCAGATAATCAAAGACCTTCCGACAGCCGTCGATGGTTTGACTGTCCAGCAGCTCCTCAATGAGCCAGAATAGCAGCCCGGGTTCACATTGTTCTACAGAGTATATCAGCGATTAAAATCTCAGATAATACCCCGCGCAGGGCGCTCACCATTATCCGAAAATATCGATACAATATCTAGAAGGTTCCATATATGAATAAACGAAGGTTCATCGATCGAGGTGGTGGCCTACACCAAAAGAAAGGTTAGCACGGTATGGTATAGCCCATCCAGCTGGCTGAGAAGGAGCGTGACAGACAAGAAGATCATAGAACTTTTTCCGAAAGGCAGTTTCAACCACTGCGAACTGAGCCTGTTGACTTTGCTCCTTCAGTCCACTATCTTGGTCTTGTTGTATTCGGCGTATCGCATCGCCCAGATCGGCATCAGTCAACGGAGGTTCAATGCTGCAGTCTTTCTTGATCTCCGCCGCCTTATCCAGAAGGTCCTGGACTAATTGCTGGTAGACCTTCACCGCCACGATATCTTCTACTGGCATGATCATTTGGATAGAACGAGGGCGGCAATTAAATTACCTTGTGATTTGCCGTGTATCTGAAAGAGGTTGGTATAAATCTCTTTCTTGAAGCTATTTGGCGGCTTGACGTTGTTCCTTTGATGCTCTGGGGGTGACAAATCGTGCACGGACGTTTTCTGCACGTCTTGAAACCGCTTTTTTGTTTTGGCGGCGTCGGACTGTTGTCCTTGAAGCGCATTCCGTCAAGACGACAGCAATGGGACTCCAGATGCGTCCAGCAATGGCGCAGAGCTTCGACACCCGCCCGACGGTGAATGACCTCCAGGAGGATAACCGGTGGGTGAATCTGGCTAGGGCCCACTGGTTGAAGCTGTCGAAAGCTCCGAAGGCAAAGCCTGAGGTTATCAAGAATGATCTATGGGATGGACTGGTGTCGGAAAAGTTCGCTGTTCGTTCTCTTCTGATATTGGAAAATCTTCATGTGCTGGAAAAGTAGGTTATACTCTTTTGCTTGTTGCTGTTGTTCTTCTTCAGACAGAATCCCCCTGACAACAGTACTCTCTCTGCCCAGGTTCCTTTGGCCAACATACTCCGAAGATTCCTCCAACTACCATGTCCTGCTCATAGCCGTGATTGCTGGAATTAAACAGAGGGAGCACTTGCCAATATGGGGTAAGGTTACCCTGAAGTCGCGTAGTTATATCACAGAGGCAAATACTGACTCCATCGCAGAGCATTTCATGGAGAGACCGACAGACTTCACGACCCTTTTCCGCCGTATCCTTGCTATGAACCTTGATACAACATTACCAACAAAGTCCAAGATCTATCTCCTATCATTCGTTATCAGCGCTTTTCAATCGCTGGAGAATGCGCTTATTCGCAAAGAATGCGCTCCGCTGGTTACGATATCGATTTGGCACAACCTTCACAATGATGCTTCTAGGAACAAGCTCCTGGAACAAACGGATACTTTGAAACGGGGATGGCGAATAGCTGCGAAGCGGTATGAGAAGGCTGACGATGCTGGAAAGGCAAAGCTCCGATTTGATCGTTCTTGGTTATATTCGATGCTGCTCGATTTCCTTCAACGAATCAACATGGCTGATGGCAGCGATCCGGACAATGTACGATATTGCGAGCGATTTATGGAGTTCCTTGTCGATCTGGACAGCCAGCTTCCCACGAGGCGATACTTCAATTCCCTCCTAAAGGATCTCAACCTCCTTGCAGTAATCCGAGTATCAAAGCTTTACAACGAGGAACCGAATGCGCTTTTCCGTGATTTCTACACTCTCCTCAGGCATTTCATCAACTTTGCGGTAGACGATCAGTCGGGCCAGCACCTTTCTCCTCAAGCTGTTTATGACGTTCACTGTAGGGAGTTGGCTCATCTTCAAAGAACAGCAATTAAGCATTTCAAAGACAAACTCACCATTTTAGCATTATCAAACTACGGTTCGATCGAACAACGGCCTGAATTAGAGTCACACTTGTCCGCCTTGACTGATGAAGAATTAGAGACCCTTTGTTCCTACCTTGGTTTTAGAATAAGCTATCCTAAGCAATCCAATATTATTCCCGATCGCCAACTAATTCTTGAAATTATACTCTCGGCTTTCGAGCGCCATCGTTCATTCCAAGAGTCCGCATCACAGCTGGCCGTCATGCCCACGGAATCAAACTTGTACGACCCTGCTTTGATCCGCAATGAATCCTATGATGGCTCTCGGCCATTGGCCATTCCAAAATTAAATTTACAGTATTTGAGTCTTGGCGATTTCTTATGGCGATCGTTTTTGCTTTATCGTTCTGAGGCTTTTTTTGAGATCCGAAAGGACCTTGAATCAGTACTCAAGCGATTACAGCCACTCTTTCAGAGAAATACCGGGACTGTGTCATTTGAAGGGTTCTCAAGAATGGCAATACCAATTGCAAAACCGGCGATCGTTGAAGTTGCACCAGCAAAAGTTGGATCAACTAACCCTGCATACGTCCGTGCCGAAATTGGACTGGACGTCAGCCGTCTCGGTGATAATGTTCGAAGAGAATGGGAATCGCTTCGGCCTGACGACGTCGTTTTCCTTCTTGCGTTGCAGCCTAAGAAATCGGTAAAGCAGATATTTAGCAACAGCCGGGATCCAAAAGATGAAGTGAGCTTGTTACATGTCCGCACTGCGGAAGTTGTACAAGTTCTCGACGAGCACGGACGATTTTTGAGGGAACCTCAAACCGAGGAAACGAATGGATACAGGCCGCGGCCGCGACTTCGAAGATTACTTGTGAATATCGATGCAGCGTCGTATAAAGCCGACATGGAAACTCTTGCGAAAGGGAAACCCGACGTCTACACATCTATCAATGTAATTGTTAGGCGAAGCGCCAGAGAAAACAATTTTAAGCCAATTCTAGAAACCATGCAGTGCCTAACGGTCGCGGACACCAATCTGCCTCCGTGGATACAGGAGGTTTTCTTAGGCTACGGAGACCCGGCTAGCGCCAGATATACAGAACTGAGCAATAAAGTAAAATCTGTCGATTTCCGTGATACGTTCCTAAATTGGGACCACCTTGTCGAAAGTTTCCCAAACCAGACAATTGTACCAGATGACGGCGCGGCCTCTCGCTTTGATCCACCATATGTCTTGGAGATGTTCGAGGAGAATCCCAGGGCGACAAGCTCGAACGCATCAAAGAAGAGACGACGAGATCAGGTTGAAGTTGCTGAGAAGACCCCCAGCTCGATACGTGTTTCCTCATACCGTCCACCTAATCCAGGACCTTATCCGGTTGATGCTCCGAAACTCAACAAGATTCGATTTACACCAGCCCAGGTCGAGGCCATTGTGTCCGGTACCCAACCTGGCATGACTATTATTGTTGGACCCCCAGGAACAGGAAAAACTGACGTTGCAACTCAGATTATAAGCAATATTTACCATAACTTCCCCAATGAGCGGACATTACTCATCGCCCACAGTAACCAAGCCCTAAACCAACTTTTCCAAAAAATTATGGCCTTAGACATCGATCAACGCCATCTCTTGCGGTTGGGTCGAGGAGAGGAGGAGTTGAACACTGAGGAAAGCTATAGTAAATACGGTAGAGTGGATACTTTCCTGGAGAACCGTGGTAGCTACCTTGCCGAAGTAGATCGTCTGGCGGCTTCAATCGGAGTGGAGGGCGCTCATGGGAACTCTTGCGAGACGGCAGGCTATTTCAACACCGTATACATTCGACCGGCGTGGAAGAAATACTGGGATACAGTTCAGGCCGAAGACTGTCCTCGCGAAACCGTTATCGAAGCTTTCCCTTTCCATTCATTTTTCTCGAATACCCCAAAACCGCTGTTTGATCCAAATTCGTCAAAAGAAGAGCTGCTCGACGTCGTTTCCGGATGTCAAAGGCATATGGACAAATTATTTTCCGAGCTTGAGGATATCCGTCCGTTCGAGATTCTCAGATTCCAGCGCGATAAAGCCAACTATCTTCTAGTAAAAGAGGCTCGAATAATTGCCATGACTTCGACCCATGCGGCTATGAGGAGACAAGAAATTGCCAACCTTGGATTCCAATATGATAATGTTGTAATGGAGGAGGCAGCACAAGTCACAGAGATCGAAAGTTTTATCCCTTGTGCGCTACAGAACACTAAAAACGGGGAATTGCCATTGAAACGAGTAGTACTTTGCGGCGATCATCTCCAAAACTCCCCCATAATTCAGAACATGGCTTTCCGGCAATACGCGAACTTTGAGCAAACACTCTTCTTACGCCTTGTAAGGTTGGGTGTACCGACAATAAATCTAGATCAACAGGGTCGATCACGTCCGTCAATTGCAGAACTTTTCAGATGGAGATACCCACAACTACGAAATTTGCCGGCTGTAGAAACGAACGAAGAGTTCAAACTCGCCAATCCCGGCTTCAAATTTGACTACCAATTTATCAACGTTCCAGATTATCAGGGAGTCGGCGAAAGAGAACCCTCAGCCCATTTCATTCAAAATCTTGGCGAGGCAGAGTATACTGTTGCTATATATCAGTATATGCGTCTCCTTGGCTATCCAGCATCGAAGATATCAATCCTGACAACGTATACGGGACAAAGAGCGTTGATCAAGGATGTTCTGAACCATCGATGCGCCAAGAACTCTCTATTCGGCTTACCAAAGATCGTAACGACGGTAGACAAGTATCAAGGGGAGCAAAACGACTGTAAGTTTAATTGCATCCCCAAATAGAGTATCAAACTCTACAAAAGTTTTACGGTATTCGAAACTAATGTTTAATAAAAAACAAAAACAGACGTTATCCTCTCCCTCACACGCACACGAACCGTCGGCTACTTGCGTGATGTGCGCCGTCTTACCGTCGCCCTCTCCCGTGCCCGGTTAGGCCTCTACATCCTCGGCCGCCGCGAAGTCTTTGAATCATGCTTCGAACTCAAACCAGCATTTGACATACTCCTCCAGAGGCCCGATAAGCTCATGCTTGTTCCCGGCGAGCTCTTCCCGACTTCAAGAACTCTAGCGGAAGATGCTGTCACTGGTACGCCAATGGAGGGAATGGAGCACCTGGGCCAGTATGTGTATGAGATGACCCAGGCGAAGATTAAGGCGTTAGCGGAGGAGGGGAAGGCAGCGGTCGCTCCTGTGGATGCCGATGAGGTTATGGCCACCATTGGTGAAGAAGGAAAGGATGAGGAGGCTGATGATGAAGAGCGTTTTGTACAGCCGGAGAGTATTCTTGATTAAGATCTGAAAAAAAGCCTGGTTCCTTCTTGGAGGTTTTCCTCCTTTCTTTTTTGTTCACTTGGTTGTGACTGGGTATCGTTGTAACAGGAGTTTTCGCTTCGTTTCTTTTTTATGATGGTTGAAATATATTTGCCTCTCCGTTTTTACCTGGAATCAATGCTGGGATAGGACTGGGCTCTATGAATTTACCGCTGAACTTAGCCTAATTTATTCCTGGCGTTTTCCGCGCCTACCACTTTTGACCTTTATGTATCTTGACTGTATGGTTATATTTATACTGTTCCAGCATCTTACTCGGATGTTACGCAATGATTTTCACGCTTAAATGTCATTCCTCTAATATCTGGTTGAGCACCGGCTTGCCCCATTCCTTTCAAGGCCTGAAGTTATTGTTTAATTCGGAGTTTTAAGTGTAGAACTTCGTCGTATGTGCCATTTAGCTTGGGTTTTCTAACAATGTCTTTCTCTATGTACAGCACAAGGTTGCTATGATCTTATACAATCTATTTAATACAACGGGAAAGAGCTGTGTGCCGTTCGGACACTACTACAAGGCATTATGGGCTTTCTTTGAAGTAACTGTAATGAGCTACTGCCCCGGTCAGCTTCCAACTCGTCTAGTCCTATCTATCCACTACGGCCTTGGGGGAACTTATAACTTCAGACTTGGTAGCATACGTCGCGGCTTTCTCAAGATTTCGCCTCCGCCCCATTTTCCGCCTTCAGTTGATCAACAATATTTTTCGGGTCCTTGTATGCAAGAGCAACGAACCTATACCCTTGATGTTAGAATAAGGAGCCTTCTCCAAAGGGAAAATGGGAATCAAGGCAGCTATATTGTATGCTGAAAGCCGCATACTTACTTTGTATGGCTCCCCCGTGCGAAAATTTCATTCTGGGAATTGGTGAACTTTATCGATGTGAATGCAAGCGTTTTCCCGACTACGATTTTGTATTAAAGGGACGCGGTCATTATTATATTAGTTCCATTCAGTATCCTTTGATAGAAAGAGGTAAAGAAGAAGGGGAGAAGGGGAAAGGAAACAAGTGGATAAAACCTTACACTTATCGCATGTAACCTCCTAATTGCGGGTTTTGCATTAGTATCTTGAGCAGTCGACAAAGGGGTTCAGTCGACAAAGGGGTTCGGGAATATGATCGCCATCCAACTCACTGCGAGAATCTTATCTCCAATTTTACCTCCGGAATTGAGATATGTCACTAGTAATTCAATTCGAGTCTAGTCAGAGAATGAAGTTCTGGGAATGGGGAGTTCACGAACCATTAATGTCAGTTGAAACACCTGTAGAGAATAGTCCCCTCGAAGCAAGGGCTAGGGATCCTCCGAGATCGACTGCGGGATATAGCATCAGCAAAAGTTAAATTACATGGAAAATAAAATGAGGGTGTATTCCACATACCCATGCTAGCAATAGTGCCTCCATGAAGGATACCTAGGCGATTCTTGTATGGAAAAAAGGATAGTTTAGTTGGATTTCCCACCGCCGCTGCGGAGAAAATGAATACAAACCGTATGCTCTTTCTGAATATCTAGCTCGAAGTTCACAACACCAGGGCGTGCGGCTGTCACGCGGAGCTATTGATATGGTCAGTTCTCTCATCTAGAGTAGGACATGTATGGATGGAGTGATATGGATGGGGGCGGAACTCAATTGCAGGCAACTGCAAAGGCCAATTGTCATGCATCTAATATCGGTATAGATACATACGTTATGCAGCAGCCTATAAGCAACGGCTCGTCGTCAACTATGCATGTTCACTCTCAGGAAATGTCGTGAACAATGATGAATACCTCGGCTCTAAGCCAGATGTAGTCCGGAAGGACTGCCAGACCTGTAAAGTTGAATTAGCAGTTAAATTGAGAAGCAGAAGTTTAACGAAAGCAGATACTTACTGATTCAACAAATTTTAACGTTTTCATATTGCAATGATTAACCACCGAATAAATGATATATGCTGAAGGAATCGAGTTTGTTGTATCAAAGTTGTTCTAGGTTGTCAGAAGCGCAGTAGCCGGCGCTTAGCTAATCGATCGCGCGCTGGCCCCGTAACTACGGATACGATACTGCGTAATCACCTCACGTCTCTAGCTTCTGCTCTTCGCTCACTGGGGATGAATTAACTATTGTCTTGAGCTTCTTGAACCTCAACCTATCGCCTGGCTGGGATCGCTATGATAGATCGGTGACAACTATAGCACGGCGACTGCCCCAACAGCCTCCGTCTTGGAAAGAAAATAAAAATGGCTGTGTCATCTTCCCGATCGATGGACTACCTGGAAAGTTTGCCAGGAACTGTCTTCCGCAGACTCTACCAGCAGCCATCCACGGCTCTAGCAATCTTTCGGCGAATGTTGCCGCACCTGGGTAAATGCGCAACATGACTTCTTTCGATGGATGAATATTCAGATATGAGTTAGCTAATACCAAGTAGCAAAATGTTTCGTCATGGCGCTTCTCTACCTTAAGGATCCGCTGCCTGCCGCGGATCTAGAACTATGGGTGAAGCCAGAGAGTAAACGGTGAGCGAAAAGCTTGATTATATGTATCTATCCATTTTTAGGAATCGTGGGACTAATTACATGGGGCCTTGAAGCGAGAGAGACAACGCGCTATCGATCTTGGGCAGACTCCATATCCTGTCAAATACTACTACCTCGGATAATGTCAGGGCATATACTGTTACGGATCCCTTCGCATCATCGCTTCGACAGGCCCTTACAGGAGGGAATAAGCAGCAGTCCTTTGGAGTTCCGTCCCTAACCGCTGATGAAAACCCTATGACCGTTGCTCTACTAGACGACTATGCACGGAGTCAGTGGGAAGGCGTTCTGGGTTATATGGTTGGAACCAGCGCTCTGGGGGTACAGCAAGCAGTCACGCTAAGCAAGGGCGTAAAACAACTCCTCCAAGCCTGCCATCTCGTTGAAATCCGCGACCGAAGAGTCGAAATCACAAAGGACGGCTTCGCCTTCGTCCTTCAGGACCTCAACACCCAAGTCTGGCACATCTTAATTCTCTATGTTGAAAACGCGGAACAAATAGGCATGGACAGCGTCGAAGTCCTGTCTTTCCTCTTCGTCCTCAGCAGCCTCGAACTCGGCCAGTCATATGAAAAGAAACATCTCACATCGACCCAACTCAAGACCCTCGCAGACCTCACTGATTTCGGCATTGTGTATCAGCATCCCCCCCACCAAGAAGCAACTCGATTCTACCCTACTCGCCTAGCCACAACCCTTACCTCCGACTCTATCACCCTTGGCAGCTCCATCTCCAGCAGCCTCACCGCACCCAGCGGAGGGCCCGCCGCAGTCTCCAATGAGCCCGGAACAGGCTTCATAATTATAGAAACCAACTACCGCCTATACGCCTATACATCCTCCCCCCTCCAAATATCCCTAATCTCTCTATTCACAACTCTAAAATATCGCTTCCCCAACCTCATCACGGGCAAATTGACACGCCAATCCATCCGACGCGCCGTAGAAATGGGCATCACGGCGGACCAAATCATCTCCTACCTAACCACGCACGCCCACCCGCAAATGCGCAAATACCACGCGTCAAAATCCGGCGCGAACCCCGCCGGCGTTCCAGCCGTTCTCCCGCCTACAGTTGTTGACCAGATCCGTCTCTGGCAACTGGAGCGGGACCGGATAAAAGCCACGCCAGGCTTCCTGTTTAAGGACTTCGTTAGTCTGGCGGAGTTTGAGGGCCCGTGTAGATACGCCGAGGAGATTGGGGTGTTGTTGTGGAAGTCAGAGAAGAGGCGGATGTTCTTTGTCACGCGGCATGAGCAGGTTGCGGCGTATTTAAGGAGTAGGGCTGGAAGAACCTAGGTGATTTCCATACAGGTGGAGCTAAAAGATATCTTGAAGCTTTGATTGTTTTCTTTAACGGGGTAGGTTATGCCTTTTTGTTGCTTTTCTTTTTTTCCATTTTCGGCACAAGACATCCTGCCCCCTTTTTTTGTCACAATATAGGAAAGGCGTTTGCGGGCATTATCCTAGAAGGATTTTATTTTGGGCTTTTCCTTCTTCGATATCCTAGAAAGCTCGGTTTTCGTCTTATTTCAATATCTACGTTTTCACATCCATGACATCGTTCTTCGAACCAAGCGGATTAGGGACATCCAATAACTCCTCCGTTCCATCCTAATTCGCGTGTATGAAGCCCCGACTTTACTAACGATTTTCGTTGCAATGCTAAAAGGAATAAAAGCAAAAGCAAAGCCCAATAGCACGAGATCCACTCCAATCTTTATTAACCCATGTCCCCTAGCTCTCATTGCGTTTCGGGTCCGAACCAAATATGCGAAATAAAAATCCTGAACATCACAAAGTATTTCGTGAATCGTCCAATGAGGGGTATTAGTTTGCAAAAGCAAAAATCAACAGAAATTTGGAAACCAAGAAAAAGAAACAAGAAACAAATCGCACCACTCAAGCCAAACTCTTCCGAACCGTCCTAAACATATTCATCAATCCAATCCCTCCGGCGCCGGCAATACCACCGCCTGTCAGAGTCCCACCCTCACTCCATTTCCGCTTCCTATCAGCCACCTCCCTATCCGATATGAGCGTGCCATCACTTAGATCCGCCGTACTATCACGGTACCCCTGCTTACCTCCAGCAGCACGAGCATCAGCACCAACACCAGCATCACGCACGAACCACTTGGACCACCGATTACCAAAACATCTTGAATAGGCGTCTCGAAATTCCAGGAAGCTTACTCGTGCCTCAGCAGTTGAGCAGGCGTTTTCCAAAAAATCGAAAGCGCGCTTGGCCCGTTGGTCGTTCAGGGTTGCGGTGGAGGATGAAGTGATATAGTAGTATGCTAGTGCAGCTGAACTGTCATATCCTGTGGCCGCGTCTGATTCCTCTTTGAATGAGTCTTCGTGGTGGAAGGCATTGACCAAGGTGGAGAAGCGACCTAACCAATACTGGCGTGGTTGGGCGGTGGTGACCTAGGGAATCAAGGGGTTCCGTTGTTAGCGCGATGCACAAGGTTGAGCCATTACAATTCTAGGGGTACGAAAAGAGGTACCCGACTTACGGTTTGGATGTCATCGCCATTATTAGGCGAGGGACACGGGGAGATGAGTTCCTCCATTGGGCGTTGCTCTCTCAAGTTCGTTGGCTGCTGTAAATCCGAGACACAAGCATCCTTTATCGCAGCATCTGGGGGGTTATTTCGACCTCTAAAGCTCCTTAAAGATGCTGTATCTTCACAATCATTAAAGATACTGTACTTGCTACGAGCATTTCTCTGGTATCGATTAATGAAGCTTTCGGTGGGTGCAGAGTAGCCAGGAAGTTTAGAATATGATGCCAGGTTTATAGCTGTCAGACTTTTTGGCAATGAGCGCCCTTTTGGGCCCAATAATGGCTGTTGCTTGGGAGAAAAACAATGCTGTGATCCGAAGGATCCAGCTGGCGGATTATTGGCTATTTGTGCTATTTGTGCGTTTGCTGCATTTGTCGGTTTCTGCCGCATTCCCCCTATTTGCTTCTGCTGTTGATGTTGCTGCTCTGGGCCTGATTGTTCATGTGAAGCCCTCTTGTTTTTTGATCGTGATTGGTGGTGCGACAAAGATGATCCATGTCTTAGGCTACTAAAGGAAGAAAACGTGGTTGATTTCGGAAGCGGGAGCCCCGCGTTTGTATTTCTTCTAGGATATCTGTCTAGTTGGGGACTGGGCAATGGAATTCGTGACACCTGGGATTGCGCTCTTCCCTCTTTTAATGTCCCGCATTTGACACGCTGTTTTCCTCCGTTTGTCTGACGTAGTTCAGATGGGTTCTTATGCGAGATGCTTGGTTCCTCTGGTCCAGGTTGCTGGAGGTCCATGCTCCCTGGCTTTCCGTTTAAACCCGGGCTATCCTTAACGGAACTGGTTACTCCCATCAATGTTTGGGTTTGATCCCTTGAATTTGCCCATGGTATCAATGATGCCCTCCCCATGGTGTGTGTTACGGGTGCCATGGCCCCTTCAGATCGCAACTGTGAAACTCCTGGGCTGGGTGGACATGGGCTGCTCGTGAACGACGTTGCAGGGGTCGTACCGTAACTTGAATCCCCGGCGTTTGTGTGACGTTGCCTGCGATGAAATGTATTCCTTGCGAAGGCTTGGAGGGATTTTGTTAGGGACGACTTACGTCGACAATCCTGGGAAGCGCCGTTGTCTTTAGAATTGCGAGGACAGGCATATAGATGGGGGGAGGAGGAGGCAGGATATCGTGCCAGAGGCATGTTTGTTTGGCTTAGGCGCAAGCACTCGAAGACCTTCAGGGTATGTATATATCTTGTTTACGTTAGATGTATGGGTGAGGAGGTTTGCTATCATCGGGATCTTTAGACAGGTCGTAAGACTTTAGGGAGAATAATAGGACTATAAACTCCAGAGAAAGAGATATGATATTGTTAGTTCAAATATAAACATTAAACACAGAAATGTGGAATTGAAAGAAAAACAAAGTGTTAAGTGTTGTTGTGGACGTGAAAATGATAGAAGTCATGTTCCTCTGGTAGACGTCCCATATTACTGCTTTAGGAAGTATGTTTGGCTTCGTCTGACTTCCACCGTAGTTGGCATCCTTACACCACATAATACAGACAAAAAAAGAGCACTATTCACTGTGCTGTGCTCTTCAATAAAAGAGCCAGAGTGACAAACAGTCCTAACCTAAAATGGCACCCAAGATATAGGGATGTGTGGAACTCCAACCCCTATTCCGCTCCGACGACGATATCTCCCTCAGACACCTTCACGGCGCTACCACTCAATTGGATTTTATCGACCTCTTTACCCCCATCCTTTAACACAGCCTTCAGTCCAATATCACTCCTCCTCCCCATCTCCACCCCCTGAACAACATGGAACAACGTCTCCTTTTCGTTTCCACTCCCGGTCCCGCCTCCCTGCCCCGTAAGCACCAAGTAGGAGACAAGCCCACTCGCAGCGCTCCCAGTCGCCGGATCCTCAGTAGTGTCAAAAAACATGCGGCTGCGAATCACATTTGTCTTCCGCACCTCATCCCATACGTCTTTCACAAAGAAATATACATGAAGGGGTATTCCCGCGTCCCAGCCAGGGTCAAAATAACCTCCCGCCTCCGTGCTTATCGCAGGGAAGCTACAATTTCCGCTGGCTACCGTTGCTGTAGCCAATGCTTCCAAATTGGGTAACTGGACATGTGCAGCTGTCATACCCTTAACAACCGAGACGATAGGGAACCCGTCTGCGTGCGCACTGCCGAGATATGGTTCCATAGATGGATGCAGTTTAAGCAGATCCGCCAGAGCAAATCTTCTCGAGTGGATATGCACGTTGTGCGGAATGAACGCAGAGACCATAGTGGGGTCCTCCGTGGATATGGAGACGTGGATATCTCCGGCCTTGGTGGTAATAGTTGATGGAGGAGCCTCATTACTATTACTTGACTTGGCGTGCTGCAGCAGCCATGATGTTGCGCCGATGGTCGGGTGGCCAGCAAATGGAATCTCTGCTAGCGTGGTGAAGATATCTATGGTGCGGGGCTGTTCGGGACCCTTCGAGGGATGAACGAAGATGGTTTCGCTGAAGTTAAACTCGCGGGCAATTGCTTGTTTTTGAGTTTGAGTTATGGGAACGCTGTCGGAGAGGAAGACTACAGCCAGGGGGTTACCAGCGAAGGGGGTTCTGGTGAACACATCAAGGGTAACGAAATGGAGGGATTGTGCCATTGTGAAAAGTTTGGGCTTATTTCTGGTTTAAGATGCTTGGAGGAATAAGTGTCAATCCGGATGTTATTGGAACAGTCCGTACTTGGGGTGGTCGACAGACGCAATATATCCCACCTGAGAGAAATATATGTCCTTCACAAGCAATATTTGGAGCGGGTAACTACTGAGTAACTAGTTATAATGTGGAGAGACGAATACCCCCGCGAAAAATGTTTAAAGTCGCTTAAATCCCCCCTTCTCGAACCTCGAAGTTTACCCTCAGTTAGAGATTTCACTATTTAAACAGATCGTACAATGATATGGAGTATAGCCATTGTGAGCCTATGGAAATATTTTCCTACAGTAAAATCCGTCTAGCTAGATTTATATCAAAGGAGCGATTAGCGTCAAGAGAACTATGAAGCTGGGGTTATTTTTAGAGAGAACAAGTTAACTCGATAGATAGGATGCAACTTGCTAGTTACCACCGCTGCTCCGCTCTTTATCCATCTATGACGCAGGGAAATGAAAATGATACAATAGATTTGACACGGCAAAACTTTGAGGCACTGGTGAATAAACTGCGGCTAATATACAGAGTAGGTTGCCGATTAATGTCATATATAAAACTGACAGCTCAGCCGTCCTCCTGCCTTTTCTCTACTAACGTCCAGAACAACAACAACTCTGCCCCTGAAAAAAAAAAAAAAAAAAAAAAAAAAGCTCACTCCTAATGACTACAAAAATTGCAGAGTACGTATAAACATTATCATGGTGGTTTACGAACACGCTAACAAAAGACAAAAATCCCCCTATTCCCGCGCCTACAATGACAGTGAAAAACGACAGCAAAACAAGAACCTGGTATCGCATTCGTAGAGACAAAAGATTCAAAGGTCAGAGACAGCGGCAGAGGAAAAACAGACGCCAACTATTTATTCCCCAACTTCCGACTCAGAATCACTATCAATAATGAACGCGCCAAGCATGCGCCGCTGTCGTGCAGGCATCTTGACCTGCTCCTCTTCTTCCCTTCCGTCACTCCCAACCCCTTTGTCTCCCCCAGTTTTGTCCTTGTCGGCCAAACTAGCGAAGTAAAACGGGTTATCAAAGTAATCATCATCATTCATGCCGAATATTGGATTGCGTTCGGTGGAAGTTGGCGGCGTGGTATTTTCGCTCCTTCGTTCAGGCTGAGCCATGGATATCGACTCAGTCTCGGAGGATGATGATGGTGTTTCCTGAGTGGCCATCATGACGTCTTCGTCATCATCATCCTCAGGATTGTCAATGTTAATTGCGTTATCTTCGTCATCGCTATCTAACAGAGGATCGCTGCGCTGACGTTTATTGTTTTCGTCGCCATTAGCAGTACTTTTCCGTTTCCGTCCTTTGCTGGAAGATTTTTGGCCAGTTGCTTTATCACCCCCGGCTGTACCTGATAATAAAGCCTGCTTGATGCGTCTCGCCTGGTTTTTTCTCCTCTCCTCCTCTCGCGCGAAGAACTCCCTATCGGCTTCCTCGTCCGACTCTTCATCGCTGGCATTGATATATAAACTGCTTTTGATCTTTCTTTGGCGCTCCAAGGCATTCGCCTGTCGTGCCAGACGACGCGCTTCGAGCGCCGCCTCGTCCGGGCCATCACCATCCTCTTTGTTCTTTTTCCCTCGTCTAAGTCGCTTCTTTTTAAGCTCGTCTAGTGTGCCGGTCCGAATGCGAAGATTTGGCGGGAATAAGATACCATCAATATCGTCCTCCCCCTCTGAGTCGTTTCCAAAATCAACCTCACCCTGTGGTCTTCCATGGGACGGCATCGTAGTGTCGACGTCCCGTTTTCGACGCAGTAAATCGCGAGGTTCCAGCCCGTCAAATTCAGTTGGCGGGTTTTCACTGTGTTTCTCAACTGATTTTTGGGTTTCTTCTAAAGTTTTGGCTGATAACGATGATGGGATTATCCACGAGGAATCCAGCGTGTCCTCAACACCCAGCCTCTCAAATCCAGCCAATGTCATTAGGAGGCGGAAGCGTCCATTTTTGAACATGGCAGTACGACACGCATCATCAAGGGGTATAACAGCTAACGAAAATTGTCAACATATATTTGATCGTGCGGAATCGATATCTTATACATACCTATTGAAGGTGGGCTGGGAGGATGCTCCCCGCCAGATTCGGTTTGCCTAGATTCTGCTTCAAGCTCCCAGCATCTCCTTTCATTTACTGCGGTATCAAGCGTTTTAACAAGCCATTGTACTAGGTTCTCCTTTCCTTCCAGGTGTAGTGCAGCTACAACAATCCCCAATCTAGAATCTAGGGTTGTGGCAGCACCGGGTTTCACCTCCAACTCAGCCGCTGGCTTTGAGTTAGACACTGTCTGTCTCTCGTGGCCATACTCCAGATAAAAGACAGTTGCGTTAATTTTGCTAAATAGCATTTCAGTGATAAGCTCTGGCCGTTGTTCTAATTTCTTAATGAGCTTTCTGATAACTCGTCGTGTGAGCTCTTCCCATTCGGCATACACCGACTTTGCCGAATCAAGACCCCCTGGACCCTTTATCATCCTGTAAAATAGCGAAATTATATCCACACGGAAGAGCAAGACGCTTAACTCTTGCTTGAAAGCCACACGGTAGAAAAATCGGTGTGCTCGTTTCAACTGCTCCTCGTTGAGCTCTCTGTAATGCGTAGTTAAAGCAAGGAATGTGTTGACAGATTTTTGGGTGCAGAATTTGGCCGCAAAACGTCGAAAATCAAAAGATCTTTCAACTATCGTTCTAGTTGCATCTTCCATGGCCAAGTCTTCGGCTTCAGACTCATCATGATTTTGAGTTTCGGGGTTTTCAGGATTGGCAACAGCTTCTTTACGTTGTTTCCGCCTAGCTCGTCGCCGGGATCGAATCTGCATATGTTCATTCTGCTTCGAGTACTGTTCCAATAATCGAAGGAAGACATGGGCCAGTTCAGTGCAAGCATCCAAATACCAAAACCCTTGGCTTTCGTAGCCCCTCAATATAGTCAATATCCTGTCATGCGTTGTTTCCTCATAGAATATTCTGCTCAAGATATTTTCTGCAATATCTTGATCTTCACTGATGTCAGAATGGAACATTTGCTGTACTGTTAGAAGGATTTGTGTGAAACACCGCATACTAGCGTTGAGGTCTTGCCAATCCTTGAAATCTAAACAGTTCTGCATATGTCTATTTAGAGCAATAAAGGTTTCTTGGTTGAGGACGCTAGCAACAAGCTGAAAACTATCCGGTTCAATGTCCCTCGCAGGGTTTGGATTCTGCTGACGAAGTTCTTGTTGACGGGTTCGACGAACCCTCTCGGCTTCGAGGAACCAGGAAATTACATAAAAGAATTGGCGAGGTGTGGACTCGGTAACGCGGTCGGCCTCGCGCTCAATGGCTTTGCGGAGATGTGAGAAGAGTGGGTTGAAACCAGAATCCAAAAACTCCTCAACAAATGTTCGTAAATTTTTGGTCGCCGATGGTGTTAAGGGGGATGGGACGTTAAAGTTATTAACCGACATATCAACACCTCCCCTTCTGTGTTTCGGCCTATTCCACTTCTTTGTTTTGTCCATTTTCAACATTGTCGTCCAATCGTCTTTTAGTACGTCCTGACCCGAAACGGTGGATACTTTTTCATCATCTCGTTTCACCCAGATCATGGTGCCAAATCGTCCATGCCTTGTAGGGGCAGTTTTGGCGTATTCCCGCTTCAAATGTGATTCCTTGTCTAGGAGAGCCTCAAGATCATCCGTACCGGCAATGCTTCGTTGAGTATCATTCATGAACAGCTTCTCGATATCGACACCCTTGACAATATGGAATAGAATCTCCAGAATAACGACGTCCTGGAAAACAAAATCTTCTCCCATATTGGAGCACATTGTTAATAGAAGGGCAAATACATCTTGTTCTTGAAAGGCGTTTATGGTGGCAGACTTTGATGCTTCTTCCTCATCGCCCTCTCTAGCTAGATGTGGAGAGGGTGTTATTATAGCAAGATTTCTGAATAGGTATAGCATTAACTTTAGAATCCCTTCGTCTCGCGAGGAACGGTCTGACCGAGGAGTTGTCATGCTTGGCAATGCAATACGGATAATCGTTCGTAGAATGGCTGTGGTATCATTTCCAAGAATCCCGCGCTTATACAAAACCTGCGACTGCTGCAAGTATGGTGTATGTCTATGGTGGTTGACCGTCATCTGGCTGTGAATCTCGAGCGGCCATGTCAAGGGAACAAGCAATTCCACTAAAATGAAGCATATCAGCGGATGTCACTAAATTACGAAGTTTGGAAAAGGGAAGGGAAAGCGCAAATTGCTTACAGCATGCCAACGCAATTCGCGACTTGTGCTTTTCATCATGTATATCATCCCCCCAAAGTGTGAGAATGGGAATCAAGTCTCGATTCACCAGGTTTGCTTCGGCCAAACACCTAGCCACGTCCATGCGGTTCGCTTTCTCGTCATAAAACTTCAGCCATCTTTTGATATCGCGCAAGCACGCGAGCGCATCGTCTCCTAAGACATATTTGCCTGTATCACTACTCCCAGAGCCTCCAAGCTATTGTAATTTTATCAGCTTTCCATTAAATTTCAATCATCAATGGGGTGGTTTGGAGGTTCTTCTAAGATAGACACACCGCAGTGATAAGGCTGTAGACATAAGCGCGGACTTCAGGATCCACCACCTGGACTGGCTGGACAGACTCTGACTCCATATTGTTTGGATGCTAATGGGGCATCAATGTCATATCTCGAGAAGCATATTTCTGATTGTTGATCTTCCAGGCCGTTCTCCCTTCGTCATTGAATTTCAATATCCAATCGTTTCTCGCGTCATGGAAGACGCGTTCCTGACGCGCCGACTGACGAATCTCGGACCGGAATTTCTAGATAATCCTGTCCCCGAGAATAACCTAATTTATGCCGAAAACTACGTCACTTTGTCATGTGATTTCGCATATCCCCGAGAACGCCGAGGAACTCTGGTCGGGCCGAAATGAAATGGAGACGGCATATTTTATTTCCAGAGAGCCACATCCAACCAAGAAGCTATACAAAACACTTGTCATGCGGTGAACTGTTCTATCTCTGGTCTCATAGTCACCCGTCACAATGTTCCGTGTTATTGTAGGACGGCGCATCGCCAATGGGGCCTCTTCAATGGCCAGATCCTTCAGCACAACCCCAATTGCCCAGGCAGCGAGGGAAGTGAAGAAGGTGGGAGTTATCGGAGCTGGGCAGATGGTAAGCATTGAATATATTACATACATCGCGAACTGGATACTGACATGCTGTGAAATAGGGTCTGGGAATCGCACTGGTTGCTGCCCAAAAGGCTGGCGTTCCCGTAACCCTTATTGATAACTCTCAAGAGTCTCTCGATAAGGGTATGAAATTCGCAGGTAAGCTTCATGCAAATTGGAAACACACCCAGATAATTGCGGATTGGGACCTCTAACTCCGAAAACCCAATAGACAAACTACTCGAGAAAGATGTCGCAAAAGAGCGCATTACCAAAGACCATGCCGCCCAAGTCCGCTCGATGCTTAAACCCAGCACCAACCTCTCCGACCTCTCCGACGTAGACTTCGTTATAGAAGCCGTCCCCGAAATCCCAGCCCTTAAGGCATCCATCTTCTCCCAGCTGGCCAAAATCGCTCCCTCCCACGCCATTCTCGCCACAAACACCTCCTCTATCTCCATCACTAAGATCGCCGCCGCGACCACCGAAAATCCCACCGACCTCTCCGCCTCCTCGCGCGTCATCTCCACCCACTTCATGAACCCAGTCCCCGTCCAGAAGGGCGTGGAGATCATCACAGGCCTGCAAACGTCCCAAGACACCATCGACACGGCCATGGAGTTCGTCAAGCGCATGGGCAAGATTCCTGCCCGCTCCACTGATTCGCCAGGCTTCCTCGCCAATCGCATCCTCATGCCATATATCAATGAAGCCATCATGTGTCTCGAGAACGGCATTGGCACTAGGGAAGATATTGACAGCATCATGAAGTACGGAACCAATGTGCCCATGGGTCCACTGACGCTGGCTGATTTCATTGGTTTGGATACCTGCCTGGCTATTATGAATGTGCTGCATACCGAGACCGGTGATAGCAAGTATCGCCCTGCGGGATTGCTGAAGAAGATGGTTGATGCTGGCTGGATGGGCAAGAAGACCTCCAAGGGCTTTTACGACTATTAATTGATTATTTCGTTTTGGGAAAATAGTGGATGGGCTCATGGTGGCAATGTTTCGACTTGAGTCAACGCAATGGGTTTGAAACCCAACCCCCTTGGAACACCTTTTTCTTTTAACCAGGTGCGTGTATAACATGTATATAGAAATAAAGGTATAAAATTTGTTATGTTATGTTATGTTTTCAAGTATTCGTGCATTATCCTTGTGTTACCGCAATCCACTCCTGGGGCTCCCTCCATTTCACCGGGGCCAGATAGATACAAGTCGCTCGCATTTTCGAAATATTTGGAGATCTATCCTTACTCCATTTCGCAAACCAAAATCAAAAAAATTGACAATACATTCACCTTGCTATTATTCTGTTCAAAACACGTCCGGATCCGGATACCCCTGTTTAGACATCAATTTGTCCAACACCATGAACCCTAAGGCAAAAATATCTAAAGAAAAAGAGAGACAAAAAGAAAAGGCAAAACTAATCTGCACCACCAACTATCCTTCAATATTTAATGTATTAGTCACTCCCAATACGCCCGATTGGCAACCATCTCACCACCAATCCCACAGTCACCATCACTGCCATTTCCACGACGATTCTTCACCTCCAATGTGTCCGCGATCCGGGCCAAGTTGCTTTCAATGGATCCCAAGACGGTTAACAATTTAGCACCTAGATTGAAAGAGGTAGCGTTCAAATCAGTGCTGGCTGCCTGGATATCTCCTCCTGTGGTATTTTCTTCCGTAGCTACCTTAATGGAAGAGGCGACTGTATTTGCTTTAGTAGTGGTAGTACGGAGCTTGCTCTCCATTTGAGCCGTAGGAGCTGGATCCTGGCCAAGCTCTGGAGGGGAGGGGGTTGGTGTAGGGAGTTTGAGGTCATCGCCATCACCATCACCGTCACCATTGCTACCATCGCCTTTGGTTGTAAAATGAGCGAAGAGGGGAGGAGAGCTGGTGACTGTGGCTTTATCGGTCATGCTGGGCGGCATAATCAGCATTTTAGCTGTAGGCGACATCTTAAAATAAGGGGACGAGCCGGGTGGGGATTCAGTTTTCACTGCTCTGAAGGGAGAGGACAGTGTAGCCATCAACAAAGGTTTATCAGGGGTCTTGACACTTCCAGCCCCACCGCCAATGGCAGTTGGGGTAGGATCCGTTGCGCTGACGAGGGCTCCGACAGTTAGTTTAGACCCAGAAACGCCCGAAACATAATGAGACGCACGAGGAGAAATTGCCATATCTGCACCAGCGATGTACGTTTCCATTTCTTCTTGGAATATAGTGAACTCCTCGCTTAGACGCTTTTCCCGGCGGGAGACCTCATCAGGCCAGCCAAGTGCGCTCGGGGTCGTGATGATGGAGCTGGCGATTGTCTGGATTTTGGCCAGGCGAGGCCCGAGGCCCGAGGGCTTGAGGGATCTTTTTTGGAGAGTTTAGCAATCCTTTCTTTTTGTCATCTGTTTTTCATTTTTGTTGCAAACACGTTTTATCTGGAGGGATAAAACAATATTCAGGGGAATTGGGAAGGATGTAATGTAAGAATGCTCACTCGAAAACCTACCTTCAAGCACGCCTTGTACGTCGCATCGCAGTGGCGACATTTCGAGTTACATGGCCCAGGCCGGCATTTCATCTCTCTCGGATTCCGACATAATTCCTGGATACATTCAAAGCATGGTTCCCACGTCAGCGTAGGCATGACTGCGCGCTGCGCGGGTGGTGTGCATGTTGCTGCTGCAAGCTGGGCGTCGATATGACTAGTACCGTCAGGGCCAGATTTGCGTGGCATGTCCTTCTTTTGAGACGATGTGGAATAGATTTTCTCATCCAGCTGTATTCCCCGGTAGTATTCGCGGACGTCGTAGTTGATATCTGAAGCCCTACTGCTGCGTTCTGGCCACTTTCGGGGTCGTTGGTGGCCATGTTCTTGTTGCTGCCCCTCTTCTTCATCCGCTGCCTTTCTCTTGTTGGTAGCCTGCATTTTATTTTGTACGGCGTTCTTGGTTCTTAATATAACTATTAGTTAGCTCTGTATCTGTTTTTCATTCACTTAGGAGGAAGATCGAGATGCGACAAAATTATATTTACCTTTCCGCAGACGTGACTCCAGTGTTGCACGCCGGCCACTGGAACTAAGAGAGGGCTGTAGAGGGCGTTTTACCAAATAGGATGAGGACACTTGAAAGTGATGACAACCATTGAGTACAGACTTCGGTGTTTGATAGATATAAAACAGATTGATTTAGGGGTTAGCCTGTTTTACCCTTCATTTTTACAACCGCAAAAATATGAACCTTTGAAAAAGTCCAACAACATAGCTGGTAGAGAGAGGTGTATCAAATATGTCCTTTACCCCCATGATTATTTTACCGTGTTATTATTTATTTCCGTTTTCGTTGTTGTGATTCCCCGTGTCATTCGCCGATACTCGCACGCACCTGAACCCCTTTTTCTATCTCCGCACATTTCATCACACTCACAAAACTTTCAAGGCAACAGTTCTTTATAGAACTTCCAACATCAAAGAAATCCAGTCTCCCTCTACGTATGGTTTCAACGCTGGAAAAGGAGGAGGGAAAAGAAAGCACAATGCTGCAAAGACAACAACATAAGGCACACTGGAGAGCCAAATGATAAGAGTCAGTTGAATGTATAATAAAATGTCAACATCAAACTAAGATGGATATCAGCCGCCTTCCGTCTGACTTATATAGACAGGAGGCAAGTCGAAGTACGTTTCTCATGTATCCAAATATTGAGATTTATAAAGAAGATTAACTTGACTCCGTAAATAATCAGACTCAATACAAATGCTGGAACAAGGTGAAACAAGGGAAGAAATAAAGATGAAACTTAAACTGCAAGAACCCAAACAGATGCTCACAGGGGAGATATATATATATATATATATGTGTGTGTGTGTGTGTGTGAATCTAAAACAGTATCAATAGGCGCCCATCAGATCGCGAAAGACAAACGAGAAATATGAACGGCTGGAAACAAGAAGGAAGACGAAGCAAAAGAAAGATTTAAACCAGAAAATAAAAAAATAAAAAAATACACACTCCAAAAGACAAGCCCATCATCCCAACAGCGAATACGGCGACTGACCCGCCAGCCGCGAAAATCCCCGTTTCTTCTTCTGTATTGGAGGCTCCTGAACTGCCGCCGTGGCCCTCTCCGGTTTCACGGGGGCTACAACAGCAAGCTGAGGATGTGGCAGCTTCGGCTCCAGCTGAAGAGATGTTACAGGCACTGGTACTGGCGCAGGGACGAGTACGAGGGCGGGGCTAGATTGGGTTGGCGTAAGAACCGCTTCAATGTTCGCATCTCCAAACTCCGAGTCGGCAGGCAGCTCCACAGGATTCGGCACGACTTCCACGGCGGGCAATTCCACGATATCCACGCCTGTGTCTATCAGTCTGGTTCTGTATTCGTCGAGCATCTTCCAGCGCTTCTCGACAGCCGCGGTAAACCAACTGCGATCGACGATGACCCTCTGCACCAGCTTGGAGACGGTGTCCTGCTCCGCTTCGCGGGTTGAGGTGTAGTCGCGTGCTAGTCCGGCTTCAAGGGCTTTTAGTTCGAGGTTGTTAGTTTTCTCTTGGGTAAGGATTGCTTGCTGATGGGCTTGTTCAAGGGTGCGCATTTCGCTCTCCTGGTCGGCTTTGAGTTTACCTAGGATGGCTTTCTCTCTGCTCTCGCGGTTGGCATTTCCTTTGAGATGGCGGAAGATGGTGAGGAAGGCCTCGTCTTCCTCTTCTTCGTGGCGGGTAGTGATGCTGTCGACTTCTACCTTTTGCAAAGCTAGTAGTTGATCCATGCGTTGTTTTTGGTTTGTTCTTAGGCCCGTTAGGAGCCTTTCCTCTTGTTCCTTGACCTCTGACGAGCCCGCCATGGTCCTGATCTGGAGGTCATGCACAGCCTTTTCATGTCGTTTGATAAGTAGGGTCTGTTGAGACTCATTGACGTTTGATAGCGCAGTGCGTAAGCTCCATAGTCTATTGGCGATATAAAGCATCCGCTTAACTTCTTTATCGCGGAGCTCCTCTTCCTCCTTGCGGCGTTGCTCTTCTTCCCTCAGTTCTCTCTTCCTGGCTTCCTCGAGCTCCATGCGTTCGATCTGGGCAATCGCCTCTGCGATCTCAGCAGCCTCGGTTTGCATTTGTCGATCCCTCTCGAGCCGGCGTGTCTCGATATCACCTTGCCTACGACGTTGATCATCTTCCGTACATTCGCATGTCCGCCACCGAGCTCCACATGTGTAGCTGTAAAACAAACGTGTCAGTCTCGGTAAGAAATACTACAAAGTAATATTGGGAAATTTGTCAAATGGTCATACCAGAACTCCGATCCACATTTACAAGTTATATGCCGACAACCAGCAGTCAACTCAACTAGAGAATGGCAGTTGTAGCATCTTCTCCAGCCGCGATTTTCGGCTTCCTCCAGTGTAGCCTCCAATCCATGGTCTTGGGGACAGTCATTAAGGTTTGCATGCGTTAGCCCTCGGCAGAGGGTACAAATCTCAACGCGGCAATATGGACAGCTCTTTTGAGTAGGCTTTTTGCCCTTTTTGAGTTTGTTCGGAGGTATCCATTTCGCACATGACGGTTCAGGGCAATATACTCGATTCGGTTCAGCAAGAGCGTATTCCTGCACTTTCAATTTGTATGCGTCTCTTCTAGTGTGGTCCAAATTATCAAGGATAATTCGCTGCGGTATCTCCTCAAGACAACATTTTGGAGGGAAGAGCCTTTCGGTGGCCATTGCGGTATTGACGAGTTGCAAAAAGCATCCCAGGCAATATTTATGTTGGCAATTCAGGGTGATCAGATTCTTATCCAATATATCGTCAAAACAGCTCGAACATTCCCTAAAGAGAAACTTGTTGGTAATCGAGCCTCAAAGGTTATAAAGATGACATACTTGAATGTATTGCGCTCTCTTAATCTATCCCTAAGCCCCTTTGTAGGTTTCGGCGTCTTACTAGCGATCCAGCCTAAAGGGCGTTTGATAGACCCCGAGTCCATCGAGAGCTTCGAGGGCGATCGGCTGCCATCAGAGTTGTTCAACGATGACAAACGAGATAGCTGGGAAGTCGAACCGTTTCGTGGTCTGTACTGTGAATCGGACATGAGCGACCGTCGATCCCCAGCCAGGTGCGCATCTGACCCGCCATCACCAGAAGAAGGAGCCTTTTTCCTGTACAGATCAACAGCTAAAGACTGATGAACGATAGTTATGATATCTGGAGGGGTGGTGTCTAATGTGCCTTTGAGTTCCGCAGGAAATGGGTGCGCAAGCCAGTGAAGTGGTTGGAGCTGTTCTGCCTTCACGTCCAGCTCGCCCAGCCCCGCCAGCCGGGGCCATTCTAGTAGACGGGAGCGCTTGTCGATCTTCCTTGAGGCGGGGATACGGCTGCTCTCTGTGGTGGAAGGGACGGGTGTCGTCATGTCTAGTATGCGCTGAAATCCAGACGGATTCAGAGAGAATAGATGAGGGATAATAGAATAAATCCTCGCAAGGGGGGGTGTTTATTTTAAATCATAGCCAGGAACGAGAGGAACCTGACCGGTAACGGCGCGGATGTTTCCGTCAACTTTCTCAAGTTTGAGGCGCATAGGTCATACAATATATTTAAATAAGCTGCCAGCCGAAAAGGGCCAGGAGATCTGAAAATTATTTGCTGAGGTGACCGGCAAGAAAACAAACACAAGATGTACTGTGTAGGTAGGGGTGTAGTCATAACAAGCGGATGAAGAGAACTGATCTGCGTCTGCGGGGGCTGTTAAATACCAGGTCTTTGAGCACACAAAGAAACCGTGGCAGTTCAGGAGTTGAGCCGCATTGGGCCTTCTTCCTCTGGGCAGCCCTACTACTGCTCAAAAAGAGCGTGCATGACAGGCATATGGCACCCGCCGGCAAAGGCCTATCTCGAGGAGTACGAGCAGAGTCAGCGAGAGAGAATGGTGGCTGTAGGGGGGTGAGGTCACTGAGGTGAGGGAGGGACCAGAAACTAGAGAGGATGCTGTGTGCTTGGGACAAGGCTTCGTTCAAGACAGCCCCAGCAAGGGCTCGTCTCATTATTATTCATTATTATTGTTGTCCAAGTCACGAACGGGCATCGATCGCAGCGATGGTTTAATCAATTAAATTGCTGCTTTCGGGGCAGTGCTCTTACTCCAAGGTTGTTAGGGTTAGAACGTGTATTCTGATGTATCCCGCCCACGTTTTCTGGCGGGCAGGAACATGTTGTGACTTTGTGTTCTATTTTAGGCAACAAGCTAACTAGCTTTAATCGCCAGACGAATGCCTTTAGTTATTGTATGTAATCTTTGAATATCGCTCAACTAAACATCCATAGACCATTATTGGTTAAATAACGGTAGTTATCCGTGTTGGTCTCTCCCCGCTAACTATGGAGTTTAGACCTCGTAGTTACTTTTAGGGGCTCCGCCAAAATGCATAACTAACTAGTTAGTTAGTAACGTTAACTAGTAACTAACTATACAATGATCCTCTCGAACTTTGCCCCTCGCCGTCTGATAATGCTAAGAAGTCTGCGTGAGAACTGAATTAGGATAAGAAGGGAAGTAGAGAAGAAGTATTGTTCTTCAGATCTAAAAGCAATCGTGGAGTACGGACGGCCGTCATTTTAATGTAGTCTCTCACGACCGTTATCAATATTATATCCATACACATTACGGAGTATACATAGGTGGAATATACAGATATAACTATCTTACAATATGGGAGGCGAATTCCTTAAAGAAATACAGAAACGCAGAAACGAAACACCAGCAGGAGGTGCCATCTCATCTCATTTCATGACTGTATCAAATCATCAAAAGCTCAACCGTCATCACTGTCGACACAATAACACTACCCATTCCAATCATGACTCCCCGCGCACTTCTGTCCACATGCAGGCAGGAAGCAGAAAACTTGACCTCGCTAAGTGCGCCACTTGACCTCGTT